TTATAGTTGTATGACTTTTATGTCAGTCATGTTTCAGTTAATGTTAGTATTATTTTTATGTCCTGAGATAAACAGATGCAAAGAAGCATCTACAAACACATGGAGATGCAAAGCTTTCATCATGAGTAATCCATCAGGGCATAATTAAAAATTGATTATCTTATGCGTGAAAAAGAACTTGGGTGCTTAAGACACTCTGCTTTCTATTGCTGATCACCATTTAATGGTGTGATTATTACTCTATGACTGTATAATCCATTCAGTGAGTATTATCTCAAGGTCCACAGAATTCTTTCAGAATAAAGGAAAGAAAACCCAGTGTGTGAAGCTGCAAGAACACTTCAAGGCTGTCAGCACTTACGAACACAGAATGCAGACAAGGATGCTAAGCTTCCTACGGTAGTGTTCATAGTTGATTCAGCTTTTTACTTCTTATAGTAGATTTCTTCCTAGTTACTTGTACTTCTTAATTACTTGGAATATTAAAAAAATTCATATGTATCACATCTAGCTATCTAACCAGCATCTCTAATGAGAGGGCTTCTGAACACAGTTTTAAGATCTCTGAAACAAGGTCTCTAAGTTTTATTTTGGCCCTGCCTATCAGAGAGCATCCAATGCGTCTGCATCCAAGAACATGTGTCAAATGACTGACGTGGTATTTTTTGGAAGTAGGAGCTATTACACCAGTGCCTTCTAGTATTTACATTTAATTTTTGTTGATTTGGGGGCTATTAATCTAGCATGACTTTCTTCATTTTGTAATATAGAAAGAGCAGCTAATAAATGAAGTGCAGTTTATACATCTCATGAAAGTATTACAAATGCTCATTGTGCAAAATCAATTGAGTTGGGACTGCGGGTGTGCTTAGTGCAAGGCCCTGGGATCCATCCTTAAGCGCATGCGCGCACACACACACACACACACACACACACACACACACACACAGAGTGAGCTAAACTGTTGAGATACTTTGAGAGAATTTCTACCTATAATTTTACTTCTCTTGTGTAAGGATATTTTGAACAGGATGAGGTTCCCTTCTCAGAGTTTCAGTATTTGAAGATGACTTTGGTATTCTCACACAGAGCACTTCTTAGGAACTGTGATTTCACCACAGTGTCTCATTGAATGATGTAAACACTTCTTCCTTTTCCTTGTTACCTTTTTATTTCCTTCCACTGTAATCTCAGACTTTAATTCAATCTAAAATAAAACCAATGCAGACCTTCACATTTGTTCCACCTCCTTTTCCCTAAATTCTGGCCACTAGAGATGAAAAACAACAGAAAATAAAGTGCAGACATGTCCCCTGGCACTCTCTACCATGTGCTTTACTTGAGGATAACTTCAAATGTGAGTATGACAAAAACTGCATTCTCCATGATTGCTGAGTTTGTTTACACGTGCATCCATGAGTCTGATAGACAACAATATTCATAAAAGCCTCTCTGGGGTGAACTGTACCTTCACAAATCTTTCCCACCATTGTATGCCCGGCTTTTTTTCCTCCACTCTCTTGAGAGCTTTCTGCTCATATTTCTGTATTAACCCACCCTGGAAGTCTTCAGTGTGAGCTGGTTTAGGATTTTCTTTTTAAACACCGACGACTACTGAAGGCAGAGAGAGCTTAACACATTATTTACCCTCCTCACACCGTGACTAGAAGTCAGTAGTCTCCTTACTGTGTATTTGCTTGCCTCTGCCCTCAATGGCTAAAGCTTGGCACATTCAACAGCACTGCACATCTTAAAATTCATACTGAAAGGAATTGTCTCCAAATAGCTTCAGTATAATCGATGTCTTCGACATACAAAGATGACAATCTCAGCCACTGTCTTCCCAACACTTTTCTTTAAAGATAACTGCCAGATTCATGGCCCTTGACTACTGAATGAGTAGATGTGACCTTCTGAGTGTGTCAGAACCAGTCGGGGATATTAAGATGTCAACATTCTATATTAATTTTGAATAGGCAAAAACCAACTGGCCCCCAATGGAATGAATCAAATTGCCCTGTCTTACAAGGCGGAAACCCCTTCATAACATTTCCTATGACTCATTGATTAAAACAGCAGGCCAAATATATTTTAAAAAGAAATGAGAGAAACAAAACTCAATGCATGAATACATTCTATCAAAGATGCTAGCATAATATCTTGTTTTCCAATTGTCTAGTACTGTTATTGTCTAACATTGTTTTCCATAATTATTTTCCATCTTTGTTTCCTCTGCTGACATTATTATATCTCCAGTTTTCCTATTAGTCTATTCCCAGGGTGAACACATACTGTTCATTTCCTTCTCTTTGTTCATCACAGGCAGATTGCAAATGTGATTTGGAACAGCAGAATGATCCTTCTGGAGGGTGAATCATGACTCAGAGCGCGGTTAACACTATCATCTTTTCTAACTATGACCAGGCACTCTATATAATGTTAGACACTGGAATGGTAAAAAACATTAGAACAACTGTTGATATTTATTTTATAATATCCATAATTTAAATAATAATTTTTCTACAAGTTATAAAATGTTATTTATATAAGTAGTTATGTAAGATGTGAGTGTACTCTTGTTTGGAAGTGTGAGTTAATTTCTTCTAAATTTTTTTTTGCTTAGATAAAATAAACAGGTTGAGAAACCCCTGCTATACACTTTCAGATGCAACCTTTCAATCCTTAGGTGTTTGCAATGACAGTGTGTTCTAGAGGGTGATAGATGCTAATAGTTCTATTGGAAATTATTCACTAAAATATTTGGGAAATATTAGTGTTAAGAATTGTACTAGATATGGGGTAAAGATCTAAGAGTAAATTCTTTAAACTTTTGAGCAGGAGAAAAGCTTGTAGTCATAACGTTGGTTTTACAGTTTATCTAGCATGACTTTGCTTGATTCCAACTTATTAACTGCTACTTGCCTTTTAATATCAGCTTGAATGCCATGCCCTCTAGGATGCCTTCTTTCACTCACTCAGAGCTGAGTTAAGTGGATCTCCTTAAGTACTCAGGCTCTTGGCCTTCAATATAAAACAGGATTTCCAGCTGAGAATCTACCAGTCTTGAAATAACACTGCAGAGTAATGTTCTTCAGTCTATACTTGTCATGAGTCAATAATATATTAGGACCCTTGAGTACTGGAATATGAGAGGCCAGATGACTGAACAAATCTAAAAGTGGGGAAAATATTTATAGTCTGAGGCAAAAGTTGTTAAACATTAGCATGCATCAGAATCTTAAAACACATTTGCTTGCCCTATCCTGACAGTTTCTGAGTTAGTTGGTTTGAGATAAGACAGATATTCTACATTCTTTTAAGTTTCAAGATGAGTATCCTAGTAGAGTTTAGGAACTATGCTTGAGAAGCTATTGTTTAAGGAACTGGTACAAAGAATTTAAAAGTTCCACCTGTTGCTCCTGGCTATCCACAATCCAATGGGATCATCACTGACAGGGTTGTCAGGTGTCCTAACATGGCATCTATGATCTGAGTTATGTGATTTTCTTCTTTGGGTAGGTCTGCTTGGGGTGAGTCCACAGTGTTACCAACCTGAGAGGCATCGCTGTAAGCCAACATGTTCAATCAGTGTGGTGTTTCACAGTTAGAAGGCAAGTTAAAGTATATTAGTACTTTGTATTTTAAAATTTCAGTGAGGTTTCCTTAATGGATACAGATTTAATCTGTTGTGTAGCATATGATTAAAGAAACTCAAATGGTGATGGAGTAGATTAATTTAAACCTTTCTCTGTGTTTCAAATGAGGAGGAAAGGTTGTTGAATTGGCAGATAAGAAAAATTGAGTTCTTTGATCTTTTAATAAGTTCTAATTATGTGGCCTGTTGCTCACCGGCTGTTACAATAGCTACAGTTTATTATGGAATACATCTGCCTATACAGTATGCTATTATATAAGTATTTCTTAAGGTATAACCCAATTAGGGATTTTCTCTAGACACTTGAGTTCAGGAATGGGCTATTAATGTCCTCATCAGAGTTAAACTTTAGGGGCCGTGGGTTCAGAGAGGAGGGAACAGAGCTTCTCCACATTGAAAGACTATGCTAGAAGTAGTATGCTTGTTTCTGATGTTTACACACAACTCAGTTGACAATGTACATAATACTGGAGATGAGATATCACATATAAAAATGGTGACTGTTGACTACAATGATTAATAGTATAAATGGGCTCATTGTTATTCAAGACACATGGTCTACATATTCAATGATATTCTTTAGTTTTTCTTCATTCTTGGATCAATTGCACCAAAAAAAGGTTTTGTCCTCTTTATATCTTTACAGATTATATACTAGACATCATTCCAGGATCCCATGTCTGTCCAAGAGTTTTAGAAGATATTGCTAGCTGATGCCTGCCTCTAGAACTCTGCACATCTTGGTAACACAGTATGGTTTTATAACTGTCCAGGCTCAACTGACACTTGCAATGGTCCTGCTACAGCCTACTCCACTGTTGGGATTACAGGCATGCACCACCCCTCCTGGCTGTATCTGTGTTGTTTTAAGTAACCACGTTTATGGTAATTGGTCAGAGCAGCAACAATAATTGAACACAATTCCTCCCTCTTTTTTCCTTCCTCCTGACCTTTTATATATTGTTTGGTTCTACTCTAGACACTCCTCCTTGACAACTCTTAAATCCCACCCAGAGTTTAAGGCTTGCTTCAGTGATCTTTCTCCCTGAATACTTTCTTAACACAGTTGGAGGTAATTTGTGCTCCTAGAAAGCTCCAGAGCACCCTGTACCACGGACAAGCCATTTAGCACACATTCTTCATTGAGCTTATTTGAGTTTGGGCTGTATATATTTTTGGTGCTCCCTGGTTCCTGGTTCATGGACTTTAGAGATGCTAGACATGAAAATTCATTCAATGAATGAACTAAAGAATATTATCATAAAATACTTTTAAATCCTTTCCATAGCAATATATGAACTAGTTAATATTTTGTGTGTAAATATAAAAATCAATTGTAACATACATTTGCAACTTCATATGGTCCATGTAATATGCTCTCCATGTAATGATTGAGATCTCTGAATCTTTTGTGGTCTGAATTTGTAAAAGGTAAGTGCCACCAATGAGGAAACCTGTTTTAAAAGAAAAAAATGTGCCTTCGTTAGTATGAAAATTGACATCTTTTTTTAAGGATTGCTGAAAGCATTAACAGTTGCATTAGTCAGAAGGGCCAATGAAAACATCTGAAAAAGTCAAAATAGCATGATTACTTTTGAAAGTTTCACTGACATAACTGTGGTCACTTATCTTACTTTGTCACTAATATTAATACTAATTTAATTTAACATTAATTTACATATTCTTTCTTACTGTATTTATAGCAGACCACACATTTTGTCCTTCTAATACAAGTGGGAACTCAAGAAATAACTTTCTGAACTGAATAATTTATAATTTATAAAGAGTTTAGGTTGTTAGCATTGTCTCTTCTGGGATTACTATAAACATTAGCATACTAACTAAAGCAAACGTTTTACCAAATTCCAAGTGCTTCCATCTGGTCTTAGTCTTTTGGAAGTCAGTAACGTATCCTCAAGAGTCTGACTTACAGGCATCAATCAAGGGTTTATCTTGAGGTTTGGATTGATTAGGCCATGTATTGTGTGCTGGAGTTACTAGTGCTCAGGTTGTAACTCACGTTGCTACTTAAAATCAGCTCTTGAGGAGTTGCCTGCAGTAGTAGCTGCTTCGGACAGAAGCCTCACTGCTGCCTCACCTAAAGATCTGCTGTTTGCATGCAGACCATTGTTTGGCTACCATGTTTCCTGGAGAAATTAACATGGGGCCAGTGAAGGACCCTATCAGCAAACACACACAATAGGAGGCAATTACATGCTGCCTCATCTACTTCTTCTTATGGGAAATATCAGAGAAGTCTAAAATGAACATATTTTTATACTAAATAATTAACATGCAAATTTTTGAAAACTTGTAGTTCTAAGGATTAAAGTATTAAAAATTTCATCTGGATATAGTTATGAAGATTAACAATATCACATACAATTAATTAAGAAAATTAATAAAAATACTATGTATAAAATACATATAGAAAGCAAAGCTTTTTGAATTTTTCTACTGCTAGGATAAAGTAGATTAACATCAATTCTTTTCTTTTGCTGATGTATTTGTGCATATACAGACTGAAAAATTCTAGGTATAAACATGTACACAGTAATTGAGGAATTATGCTATAGTAAAGTCATTCAATTGTTTGAAATCTTAAATGCCAAATGCAACAGAGCAAGCAGCTATTGAGAATTAATTTTTATGATCTCTTATCTGACAATCCCATCGTGTTCTCTCTCAATTTCGTTCAGCAGAAAGACAAAAAGAAAACAACAGTAGAAAAAACACAACAAAAACAGATGACTTACACACAGATTTGGTACCTGTTATAAATTTACTTTGTCAATACACACACTAAAGTTTTATTTGCCTTTTTGATGGGTTCCTGAGAGGTTTTTACACTTTGGTACAGTGTCATCAAAATGGGATTCTGAAGGTTTGGGAGAGGAGCACTGCTAAAAATAGCAAGAGGAAGGGAATTTCTAGTGTCTTCGAGCCGGTTCCTTTAAAGAAGTCCATTATTTATAAGGGATCGCTCCATGCTTGTGTACTCATGGAAAGAACCCAGAAATGCAAATGGCCTGATTTGCAGGCGACTGCTATCTGCTGTGACTAAGTAGAATTTTACTCTTTATGACTGTAATTTTCTACCTTTCTTGATCAGATTTCAGTAACCAGCAGAGGGTTTCTCTTAAGAAATTTAGGAGTCAGAAGAATCCTTGCTACCATCCCTCATTTGCTGGTATTGCCCAGGCCGTGGGTCCTTGGAATATTGTTCAGGACACTGAAGACTAAATGTATCCCTTATATGTTGTTTAAGTAGCTTTTGTTGTTTCTTTTTTTATTTTTGTGCTGAGAATTGAACACAGGGTCTTCACACTAAGCTCTGTTTCTGCCCCTTTATAAATTTTTGAGGGCCAGGGATTTAGCTCTGTGGAATCAGCGCCTGCCTTGCAAGCATGCAGTCGTGAGTTTGATCCCTGATACCAAAAATAAATAAATAAACAAACAAATAAATAAGTAAAATAAACTGAACATACAAATTTTTGATTCTGAGACAAGTTATTGCTACATTGCTAATTTGTTCAGGCTGGACTCAGACTTGTGATCCTCCTATCCCAGCCTCCCAGAGTTCTGGGATTACAGACATGAACTATCATGCCCAGCTTGTTGAAGTAGTATGCATATCAATTTGGGTTCTCTCCCAGGAAGTAATTGCGAGAAAAGCAGAATCCTAACTAAAGCTGAAAATTGAAAAGGGGCATCTAAGAGGATTATGATCCTTCTGAATTTCAAGTTACACTGATGTACAAAATTTTGAAACCATAAAAGGGCAGGTTAATTTGTATCTTTAAATAGTTAATTAATTGCTATGGTGGCAACTATGGAGGTTGAATTCAGTATTTGTAGTCCAATTTGTAAGTTCTTGCTCACATCGCCTTTTTCTCATCCTATTAAACTTTTTTTTAATAATTCTTAAACCTGATGCTTTTAAGTTCCTGGAACAGCTCTCCTTCTTTCTCAGCCTTCTTACTATGCTTCCACTGCAATTTCATGACTTCCTGAGGCTTAGAGTACTCATGCTTCAACTGCAAGTACAGTTTTTCAGGAATGTGAACTACTCAGTTTTCGGTATTGTACAACATCTTTCATCCATTGATAATTCTGCTTATATTTATACTTTGGAAGGTGATTACACTGTGAAAGCTATGTAAAAATTCACACTTTCAACCAACATTGGGTACAGTGTAGACATTTAATATTCTTAAAGGAATATTTAATATTCTTAAAGGATCATTTAGTTAACAAAAATCAAGTGTAAATAAAAAATTTTATTTATCTCAGTGCCAATATCGCAATTTCTGAGAAGCTCACCTTTTTTAAAGTCAAGATACATTTTTTGTCATATATTAAAGTTTATGATCTAATTTTGGTTCATTATAAGTGGCAAAGGTTCATATGACCAGTAGTTGTCTTCATTGTATTTGGATTTTGCATATGCTTAAGATTTTTTTACTATAACATGAGTGATCACAATTATTTGTATGCTTGTTTCAAAGTAAACATAATAACAAATTAAGTTTACATAATACAAGTTGAGTAATTAATAATTTAAAACTTAATCGATGGCAGTTTTGAACTATAAATATATAAATTGATATTAGTACAGTTTAGTATTTTCCGGTACAGAAAGTATATAAGCTTTTAATTTCAGTTATTGTTAAAAGAATTGATACATCCAATTTAGTTATGCATTTTCAGTTTCAATTTTATTTTCATAAAAAACCTGAGATTAAATTAAAAACAGAATAATAAGACAATTTCTCCAATAACTGATGAAAAATAAAATAGCTTCTGACTTTTTTCCGTCTACAAAATCAATAGCTGGAAGCAAGAAGAAAATTGCAAACCTTGGTCTGTTTTGTGAAACAAAAGATTCTTTACTCAGAGCAGAGCAAGCTCTCTGCTGTAAGAGATTCAGTGGTATTGGAGTCAGAATACAGAGTGGCTTCCAAATAGAACATCCCCTAACCATAATTTTTCCTTTTGCTCAAGGAGAAGAACTGAATGCAAAAGAATGCAAGAGGACAGGGCCTTACTCTGGGAGGGTCAAGGATGCAAACTGCTTCTGAAGTTGGCTGTGAAGTTTTGAAAACTGGTCAAAGGACTTTTCTGTCAGGCTGATTTCGTGGTTACCGTGTGTCACCTGGATCAAATACAGCTGCAGAAGAACAGGCAAAAATCAAAAGATGACAACATAATCTGCAATGCATGTTAAAACTTAGTTTTATGTAGACCACAAAAATAAAGAAGCTTCTTGCAAAAATTACCACAGAGCTAAAAGATGCAGTTTGCAAAGGAGTATCACCTATCCACACAACCCATAATGTATCATAATCTTATGTGCAGGGACAGACTAATTTCTGCTGTTCTTTTCTTGTGGACACTTTAATTATGCCTTGATTTATATTCTACCACAGGGCAGGAACTGTTCCCTTTGATGGTTCTCTGCTAATAGCTCTGGTTGTTATGATTTTTCCTAAAAAAAAAAAAAAATCCTCTTAATGGCACTTAAGCTCAAATTCTAGCTGATTTTTCATTTGCATAGCAAAAAAAAAAAAAAAAAGAATGGATGTGGAGCAAAATTGGGGATGGAGTCAAGATGACAGATTTGAGACTTACATCACTGGGTTTCTTGCTGAACCCTATAATTGTTGCTCTTCGAATGGACCTGACTGTGCTTGGCGTACAAGATTCCTGGGAGGACCTCTGAGGAGGAGATTTGGCAGGGCTCACGGCTGACATTTGTGCGAGTATGTGGATCAGGTTGTTCAATTTAACAGGGAAACATTCCAGACTTTCCTTTATTTTCCTAGAGAAATTAAGAGGAAAAGACAGTAATATTCCCCCACTTCAACTCATTTCATTTATAATATTTTTCCTTGTATTAGCTAGATGTGCTAGTGGTAAACCAAGAACTGTTCATGTTTATTGGAAGCCCAACTTTTAAACATTATTTTTTTATAAACTTCAAATTCACATCTAGATTTTTTTAGCAACTATACCAGTAACTTTTATGGTGAAATATGGAACTATAATTACAATAATATATTTTGACCTTTATAGGTCTGTTTTGTTTTTCACTATTAGAAACTGTGTTTAGAAAAGTTTAATAGCAGTTGATAATCATTGGAAATATTTTCACAAACTCCAAAGTGAAACCTATGAAATAATTTATGCTGAAAGATGCCTGGCAGCTCTATCTATATCCATACTCTCTATCATATCCCTGCCCTTTTTCTTTGTTATGACTTAGGTCTAGAATGGCCCCTAAAAATCTTCAAAGGTGGAGAATGTTTGGATCATGGGTTAGCTGGACCATCAGGGAATTCACCCACTAATCAATTCAGTAGCTGACTGTGCTGTTTAAAATGTGGGATCTGCTCAGAGATGTGCTCATTGTGGGTGTGAACTGCGAGGGTGTATTTTCGACTCCTCTCTTCTCTCTCTGTTTCCTGACCTCCATGATATGAGCAGCTTCCCTCCGCTACACCCTTCCACGATGTCATTTCTGCCTTGGAGTCAGCCGACTGAAGACTGAAAACATGAGCTGAAATCAACCTCTCCTCCTTTAGGGTGCAGGTATGAGGGTGAGAAAGGTACTGAGCCACTCTTTGAGTACTTATAAAGATTGTGACTCAGCTTTCATTATTGCATTCTTAAAGTTTGTTTCTACATTTTATATATTGGTGTTCCTTTCCCAATCATTTTTGAGGAAAAAGCAGCATATTGTAATAACACATTTAATGTACAAATATTTTATATGAAGTATTTTATTTCACGATTTTTTTGGTTTTGGTGCCTGTTTTAAAAATATTTTTTATTAAAGAAAACTTGCATTCTAACATTAAAATATTTTATACAATACTTCTCTTTTTGATTATTTCTATGTATTGCCTACTAAGAATAATATTGAAATTAGCTATTTATTTTTTTATTTATTTTTCTTCACCATGTAATTTTCAGTATTGTTCATTAAATCCAAGTTAATACTATAAGTAAACAGCATGCTCTGCTGTTTTCATTAGTCCTTTCTTTTCTTGACTTCCACTTACTGTAGAACCAGTTTATCTATATTGCATGGAACATGCACTGTACACACTGTGCCCATCTATCTTCTAACCATTTAATTATGAACTGATTTCTAGAGTTTACCCTCTAATCCTTCTAATCTCTCATTTTGATGATCTGAAACTCACTCCCCAGTAAATTCTTCAAGAACTGCTCAAAGAAATGTTTCTGAGTTGTGTGTTAAGAACACTTTGTGAGCATATGGGCTGAATATATGGGCTCCTTTGCTGATTATTTCATTTTGAAGTGCCATAAAGACACGTGTTTTCTTCCAGAATAAAGGATTACTATTCAAAACTGATGATATATAGTAAGCTTTTTCCCTTGTGAGTTAGTCTTATTATCTGTATATTTAAAGGAAGTTTCTTTTTCTTCCATGTTTATAGTTTTTCTAAAATATGTTTTAGTATTGATTATGCTGGACAATTTTCAGAATGTGCAAAGTATCTTTTCAATATATAATTTGAATTTTTTTCATTTTTCAGAAAATATTTGTTAATTATAGTATTAAACTATTAAATACTGCATTGAATAAAAATTGAGTTTGCATACAGTTTTAATATTACTTTGATTTTCTTTTAGGTGCTTTTATCATATGTATACTGGATCTTTATTGCTTTTTTAATTTCTTTTTGTCTCAAACACTCTTACTTTTTTATTTTTTTGTCTGATAGCACTATGTGTAGGTTTTTATACATTTGGCATTCTTTCTAGCTTATTGTTTTTTGCATTATGTTTCTTTTCTTTAGAGATTTTCTTGGGTTATCTCACCTTATTTCTGATTTCTCCTGACAGTTTTTCCTTCATATGTTTACGAATCCTTGATTTGCTTAAAGCACCATTGAAATATAAAGGCAGAATTTATTGTTTGAGAGGTGTGTGTGTGTGTGTGTAGTCTTCCTGCATATTTTTACTGTAGGGATAATGTTATTTTACATTGTTCTTTTCCTTGTTGTAAGTTTGTATGTCACTGAACCATAGTCTGTTTTGTTTTCTCATTTTAATACAAAATTAGTATTCCTGACTTTCACAAAGAAGTAGGGAATTTTGTAGGGTCTGGGGCTTTCTTCTCTGTTTCTATCATATAATGAGTTAAAAACTTTCTGAGATATTCTTACTCTGTGTCCCTTCAGCCACTTTTTCCCCCCTGGATTTTGTTTTTCCCTTTTGACCTATTACATTTTGTCCTATGAGATTGGAGTATACTTTCAGTTGCTTCTCTTCAGTGTGAGTCTTTTTCCCACAGAAGACAGCTTCAGCTACCTTTGAGAGGACATAGACTTCTCTGTCTATTTCAGATTTGATACAGAACGTTTGCCTCCTTGCAAACTGGAATGTTCTAAACTCCCTCCCAGTGTCAACTGTACTTTTCAGATTGTCCTGTTAGTTTCCAGTGGCTGTTTTCTGGCTTTCCTTTAGATTCTTATCTTAGGTCCATTGCATGACTTGGCATTTCTCTTAGCTTCCTCCATACATTGTAGATACCACACAAGTTTTGTAACCATCCGTGGTTTGCCTTCCTGCATCTGTGTTTTAGGATTCTTGGGTATACTTTGTGTGATGGCTAATTTTGATTCTCAACTTGGTTGGACTGAAAAAGCACACTTTTGGTGTATTTCTGAGAGTGCTTACAGAGGTGATTGGCCTGTAGGACAGCAATTAAGGAGGGTTGCCTACCCTGAGTATGGGCAGCAACATCTAATAGGCTGGGGGCCCTGATGGAACACAGCAGAAGGAGGAAGCCTGCCAGCATGGGCTCTGGTTCTCTTTCTCTTTTTGCTTCCGGGCTGCCATGAAGTAAGTAGTTTTTATCTACCAACACAGTACAATTTTAGAAAAATAATTATGTAATACACTTTGATAAGTTAATGTCCCACAGTCTATAGCTTCAGAATATTGTGAAACATTGTCCTTTATTGTCTTTTTTTGGTACTGGGGATTGAACTCACGACTGCACATTTGCAAGGCAGGTGCTTATGCCACTGAGCTAAATCCCCAGACCTGTTGTCTTTTGTTGTTGTTGTTGTCGTTCTGAAAAGGAACACTGCATAAAATAAGATCATAAACCTAACACCACAGACTCTGCTTCTCTTTTTCTTATTACTTCTTGGCCACCATGAGCAGAAAACTTTCACCATGATGTGTCTATCTCATCTCAGTCCTAAAGCAATGGAACCAGATGACAACAGACTAACTTTCTGAAACGAGCCAAAATAAACCTTTCTTCCTCTAAATGAATTTTCTCAGATATTTTGTCACAGTGACAAAAAGCTTACTAACACACTTTTATTTTTCTGTAGATGTCATTCAAGTTTTTGGATTTTGTTCTTTTGGTTACTCTTTTTTATGGAGATTTAAGGCTCTTAAAAACTTAAATTTTATAATATCTAAGTCAGGCAATATAAAACGAATCATGGGAGGAGAGTGGTCCTCCTGAGAAATAGTATCTTTGATAATTCATTATCTTTTTTTTGTATTTTCTCTATACACCCATGAGGACATACAGACACGTATACAGACACAATATACAATATACTACTCTTATCACACACTGGCTGTTTATTAAAGACCTTAATTTGTCAAGAAAATATGCTATAAGGATTTCTGATGGAACATATTTTAAGCAGAAACAATTAGTACAGAAATTGAGGTAGATAAATAACTAGTATTTGACAGAGAAAAGCATCCAGGTGGCAACACAAAGGGAGGAGAGGGGAAGAGAATCAGAGACAAAAGGGCCAAAATTTTATAAGAACTTTGATATTACGTGAAATGGGAAATACAGAAAAGTCATACCTATGCACAATGTTGTACTTGGTTTCTTAAACTTAGTAATATATTTTGTAAGAAATATGTTATAGTAACTAGTAAATAGCGATCAAAACATATTGTTGTGTGAATGAACAACATTTCTAATTTAGAACACAGCATTGAATCTTTTTTTCGGTGGCAAGGATCCTGGAGAATGAACCCAGGGCTTTTGTAGTGAGTTACATTCTCATTTCTTTATATTATTATTATTAGTAGTAGCAGTAATAGTACTAGTGTTTTGAGGTAGAGTCTCCACTGAACTTTGCAGCTGTAGCTTCTCAAAGTGCCAGGATTACAGGCATGCACCACTATGGCCATTTCTGAATCACCTTTTTAAATATCCATATGGTATGTCAAAGTGTAGTATACACTGATTAATTTAATAAATTTTTTAAATTGCAAAACATTCTTTCCTATTCAACTTTGCCTAAGGACAAGGACAAAGTCCATAGAGAAGGTCAGTGTGTTGCATTTATCTTTCTGCGCCAATATTATGCTATTTTAATAGCATGGAATTTGTAGTACATCTTCCAAGCCAGGTGATCAGATGATTTTACCCAGATGATTTTACCTTTACTTCAGATAGTTCTTTAGTATTCTAGGTCTGATGACCTCAAAATATATTTTATAATACGTAAGATAAATGTATAAGAATTTTGAATGGTTTTATATTGAAACTAAATCAATTTGTGAATTATTGCAATTTGGACATTTTTGAAACTTCTAGCCCAACAATACAGTATATTTAGTTGAATCTCATCTAGATGTAATTAGATCATATTCTCCATATGACTTCAGAATTTTTACTGTGGAGGTCTTGTATATTATTTTTTGAAGATTATTCTTCAGTTGGGCTTATTTTGGCATGCATTTTGTAAATGTGATTTTTTTTCTTAAATTTTATTTTAACTATTAAGTTATAATATATGA